ACAGATTCAGATTCAAGATTCATTATTCAAGTCAGAAATCAATTGATTAAGGTATGTTCAACGTTAATTCAGTTTCTTGATGATTTGACATGAAGATCTTGGCAAGATCATAAAGTTTAAGTTTTAATAAAGTTCTAGCAATAATGACTCTATAGTTGTTGTAATTCAGAAGAGAGGTACAACTGATATTGAGCTACTACACTTGCATTAGCTGGTTTATTGAATTCGAGTGTAATTGGAATAGGGTTTTGATCTATGTATTTTTTGTTTTACAGGCCCAAGTCAATGCATGAGTACAATTTGACCAGTAAGCTCATTGCTGTCACATACATGCACATGCATTTGTATTAATGCTATAGATGGTGAGTAAGAAAATGGCTTGGGTGTTCTTTTTAATGTGCAAGATTAAGGAGCTCTGTCATAATTCTGATAATAGTGCTTCCTCTTGTTTCTTTGGAAAATCTCCTAAACTCCTTCTGAATGCTGGTAGTGTCTGCTATTCTTACAATTTTAGAAACTATGTTCTTCTTGGATTTTTTCCTAAGATAATATATATATATATTAGGGCAAGCAAAAAATGAGAAATGATTGCTTGTTCTATAAGTAACTTTCACAATATTGCCTAACTGATTAACAACTGATCATATTCTATTAACGATTTATGCGTTGAAAGGTTGAGAATGTGAAGCAACGTTATTTGCCTAATGCTCTAAATTATCCCATGTTGAAGGAGTATGACTTCAGGAATGACACAATGAGTTGCTTTTGATTTCTTTTTATCAATACGGCTAGAGCAAGTCTACCTATTATTTAACACAATTATAAAATTCTATAGTTCTGTGAGTGACACGACCGGTACCAAGTCCTCCTAATGAACCCGATACGTGTCGTGTGCCGATGATAAGTGCCAGCTTGGCTCTGAACCCATCACCAAGGAAAAAAAAAACTATACTTTGATTGTATGGCCTTCGGAGACCAAATAAATATAATTTTTTCGAAAATTTTGACAGAGTTTCCTTTAAAAATGGAACTATTTTCAATCCTGTAACCATAACAATTTTCCCAACATCAATATACCAATATCATAATATCAA